GAACTACCAAACGATTCCTGTAGAATAAAACTCCATCATTCACAGTGAAGTCTTATCTCTCCCCCTTAGAGCAGTGGAAATGCCCTTGACGCTGGGGGGCGCCATGGGGCGTTTAACGCCACCTGGGTGTTAATCACCGCCCCCCTTCAGGCGTTAGGCAGTCGTCACTTCCATGCGTCAGAAGTTTGACGCCCCCCGTGGCTAATTTAGCCGTTAACATTTAAAAGAAAATGTTTAATTATTTTTTATTATTAATATCAAACTCAATCCTTCAATCTTCTTCACATATTTCCTTTCTTCAATCTCCAATCCTCAATCTTCTTCACATCTTTTATTTCTTCAACTTTTGTTAACATGAATCCCTCCAGCTCTGGCTTTTCCCTCGACAATCTCGAGCCTAACGAGCACGCCATGTGGATCTTCCAACAATACGGGAGTAATCCAACGTTGTTCGAAATGCAACCATCAGCATACCTCTTTGAGCGGGAGTCGGTTCCGAAGACTCAACTGAAACCATCGGGAACCAAAAAAAGTGCACGCCGGAAAAGTCACAAAGCGAAAGGCACTCAACCGATGACTGAGGCGGCATGGTCAATCCAAAAGTGGACGCCGGAAGAAGAGTGCTTGTTGGCGTCGGCTTGGGTTGACGTCTCTGAGCATCCTATCGTTGGTAAAAATTATATATTTTATACTCCCTCCGTCCCATGAAACCTTTCTCCTTTCTTTTTTTATCCGTCCCATAAAACACTTCTCATTTCTATTAAAATGTCTTTTTTACCCCTTACTTTTTCATACCCTAACTATCACATCATACCTTTTTACTAATAATCTATCCATCAAATCATACTTTTACCCATCACATCAAAGGACATTTTTGGAAATTCAATACCAAAATACACTCTCCTTAAATCCCATCTAAAAAGCAAAAGTCCCATGTTTCATGGGACGGAGGGAGTAATATATTTGTATTCTTATTTATATATTTGTGTTAAAAAAATTTCAATTAAATACTTTTAAAGGTTCGGAGCAAACGAAAGATGCGATGTGGGATTGTATCGAGGTGAAGTCTTTTGCGGCGATGAACAAGGACACCTCGTACCATACCTGGGACCAACTCACTTCAAAATGGGGCCACATTAACTATAAAGTTCGAAAGTTTATCGGGTTTTACGAGGAATGCACTTGGTCCCGGAAGAGCGGGACGAATGACGCCGATGTTCTCCGACTTGCCATGGTCCAGTATCAAGACGACAGGCACCAAGGCAAGGTGTCCATTCTCTTTGGAGAATTTTAAGCCGTTCATCAAAATGGCAACAACTCAACAATCCCGACGCCAGATCCTTAAAGAAAAGATCCTCCGTCGATGTCGAGGTTGAGGTTGATGACACTATCATTCGTCCGAACAAAGGCCTCCCTTCAACGTTGACGATTCCGATGACGATGACCCCATTCCACGACCGATCGTAAGAAAGAAGGCAAAATCCATTGCCTTAGGGTCTAGAGGGTCCGCCTCTTTTTCTTTTTCTCCTCACGACGATATCGGTCGGACAATGGTTGAACAACTTCGGGGGTTCAATATTCGAGAAGAAAAGAGGGCGAGAAGAAAGCAAGAGAAGGAAGAGATCGAAATAATCGAAACCAACCTTGATACGTTATCGGGCTTCAGTATGATCTTCGAGAGAAGACAAATAGAGATCAAGGCTAAATATAATTTGTCTTAGTTTTTTTACTAATGTATTTTTTTATTTTAGTTGCTTTAACTTTTTTAATTTAATGAATGTAATTTTTTAAAATAATGGTCGCTTTAATTTTTTTTAATTTAATGAATGTAATTTTTTTTTGAATTATTCTCATTTCAATTTAATTAAATAATGAAATAATTAAATTTTATTAATTTAGTTTTAGAAGATGTTTATTTAAAATGTAAAAATGAAGGTTTGAAGCCACTGTTTGAAGCCCCAGGGCTCCAAACCTATTAGAGAACATGAAAAATTATTCTTTTTTAGGATAGTGCACTATTAGCACCCACACTCGAGTTTTTTGAATGACAAATAAATTTGTCTTATCCCCATATTCTAGGAGGTGAAAAAGAATACTTAAGTTCTGATTCTTCATGCCAAACATATTTAGATGTAGTTGTTGAAGACGATTAGATAACAGTTAAGTTTTTTTACAGAAATCAAATGTTATGGGATCCCAAAACACAAAATAATTTTTAAAAGTGGGTACCGGTTATGTTGTTGAAGAACATTGACCAAATATCTAGATTGTGTAATGGTAAAAGATTAATCGTTAAAGGACCGTGAAAGAACATTATCAGTGTAATTGATGTTTCGAGAAATCGCATTGGGGAAAAAGGTTTACATACCCTTAATGAATTTGGTATCATCTGATACAATTCTCAATAGTCTTATGTTTTGCTATGACTATCATCTGATACAATTTTCATTGTCTTTTTCTATATTATTTTTAACCAATTCGGAATTTACTCATGGTTAGTTTTATGTTACCGTTTCACGAGTGAAGACAAAGATAATGAAAACCCTTACAACTATACAAAAAATGTTGTGTACACAAAAGAATTTCAAAAAATTTGGAATTAAAATTTTTTTTCGAGTACACTTTCACTTTCTCAAATATTATTTACTCTATTTTGCCGTTGTTGTCCATTGATTAAAAATCGTGTAAGAAATATATTTACTTGATTCCGGAATAAAGATTTCATTTAAAGAATTTCAAAATTAACAAAAGTTTCGTTCGACTCCATGCATCGCACGGGTCAAAATACTGGTATATATCCTTTATCCTTTATATATAATATTTAGGAGTTAAACTCTTAGAAATTCGACATGTGGCATGCTAGCTACTTGGCAAATTTTTTTTTACACATCATCAACCACATTTGATGACTTAAGTGACTTGGCAATTTTAACTTAAAGTATGAAAACATCTTATTAGAGCAAATATTCATTCCCAATTATTGTACATATGAAAAACTTTTACGAGGTATATGTAAAGTAATTATAATTAGGAGGTTATAAATGTTAATTATAAACAACTTCAATTAATTACTAATGACATTTATTGGCTAATCCTTCCTTTTATTATAAAATTTGAGACTCTGGCTTATATGATATTGGCATGTCACGAGCTAATATGACATTTTTAATAAATCATCTGTTGTCTATTTATTATTTTAATGAGTTGGTAATTTTAATCAACATACGGAGTACTGATTTGACATTATTTTATTTTATTTTTTATTGATTGAATATAGTGACTAATTTATTTGTCTTTTTAGTTTAATGCAGTTAATCTTAAGAATTAGTAACTCTATTGTTTTTAACACCCAGTTCATTTTTCGAATGATATGTGTAACACCCCAATCCGTATAACCCGGAATTACACGAATTAAGGTGAAACGAGAGTTAAATAAAAATTTTGCTTGACATTCGAAAATGACAATTACTTATAAATATTAAATTTACACACTCTGGATCGCGACCCATTTAAAAAATATTTTCAGAGTAATGCGGAAGTACAATAATAATCAAATCATGACACATTTAAAAATCTGATGATCAACATTTGCCCGCCATCCTTGCATCTCCTCTGACTCAATGCCCTCCGGGAGTGGTTCCATCGTTGTCTTCTTGTTACCTACGTGTAGTCAACGAAAGATACAAACTACACGCTCAGCGAAACCGCTGAGTGGTACCATGCTAGAATTGTAGAATGATTCTCAGACATATACATATACATATATATACGTCTACAAAATGTATAGTAACATTCATGATATGACACATATTATCATATGGTCAATTTGATGAATCATGATGATAAATATTTAATGATAATTACATGATGGCACATTTAATCAATTTGCTTGTGAGGATGATTACATGATACCTATGTAATCAGTATACTTTTTCTTGATGATGATTACATGACACCTATGTAATCAACGTAATTGTACTAGATGATGGTAACATGATGCATGATCCTATAACTTGCAAGGACATCCTTGCGCTATGAGATTCGCCCATTTGGGACGACGAACTCACGCGGCCTTAGTCTCACGAATGAGGAGAGACTAGAAAAATAGGGGTGGTACTCGAAACCTGAATACCATGTACGTACACTAAGCCCGGAACGGGTGATGTCGGACTGCTAAGTCCCGCACATCACGCTATAAGAGACGCAATTACGCATGATCTCTTACGCATGCATATGATATGATATGCTACAATATGTGTGATGATATGAGTCATATGATATGAACAATTTGTAAACAATATGAATGGATAAATATACTTTATCTTATTTGGGTGAAATCTGATNTTTCGATGTTTAACGCGACGGTCGACCGTTTGCGTCGACCGTTTGGGTCTGCGAATCTTTCTCTTGATATTTTGAGTGTCCAAAATACTTCTTTAAGTCTTTTAAGCACCTTTGATTAACATATACATATTGTTGGGTTGATTTCCAAAGTTTATATTTACTTATGTGTATATTAACTTTATGGATTTGGTGTATTTTGATCTCAACATATAGATAACTTATATATGCATCACATATATATTTTGGAATGGTTTTAACATATGGAATAACATATAAGTTCATGTATATATGTGATGAATGATTCGACAAGTCTAACGCAAGGGTACAGACCTGGAAATCATAGGCCGAAACCTTACGGATGAGCGGGAGTGGAAACAACATTGAAATTTGCCAACTTTGTCATTTCCGTCACAACTGGACAGCCTGCGGTATTTTGGGCATATCTCCATCGTTTCTTCACGGAATTGCAAACCGCTTGATTCTGTGGATTCCTAAGATGTAAGGCTATAACTTTCGTATAGAAAGTATTTCGAGTTAACATATGTAAGATAGCGTAAATCGGACCTGAAGTCAAGGGAAAGTTGCTGTCCAGAACTTTGAATATGTCGATGAACACGATTCCGACGATTAACTCACTAATTTCAACATTCCAATGTCGAACCTTCTCTACGATACCTTCCGGATATTCCTAATAGTTGTTAGAGAGTTTATGGTAAGTATTTGGAATGAAATAATATGAATTTGGTGAAGAAACACATGCCAACCCGAGGAGCTCGCCACCACTGGCGCAGTCCCGGTATTTTGGCCATATCTTCTTCGTTACTTAACAAAATCGCGAGCCGTTTGTTGGGCTGGATTCGTATCGTCCGGGGCTAAAACTTTGGTTCAAAAAGTATTTCGAGATAATGGATGGAAAATTTCAGTTAAAGTGGCTGCTGCGTTTTTGAGCTTAAGATTTGGAAACCTTGATACTTCTTGTTTCTCCTTCTCCTTTCTTGGCTCAACAATGGAGTTAGAGCTGGTTTTTTCTCCTTCTTGGACTACCGACAGAGAGAGGAAATCGGAGAGGAAAGATGAGATGATGATGATGGTGGTGGTGGAAGATGATAATGAGGTATAATGATGAAGATGGTGGTGGAGTATTATATGATTATTTTGGAGGCTTGTGTTAATGGAGTTGGAGGAGATTGAAAAATAGGCTTGTGAGATATCCCTTGGTTGGCTACTGATTTGGGGAGATATTTGAGAATTAAGTTTTGGCTTTTAGCCAAAACTGAACAGTTTACTCCAAACGGTACGCGCTTTTTTGCCCAAACTGCTTCGAATAGAAAACGAATTGTGTTTTTGGAATGAGACTGTCAAAACTAGAATTTTGACGTAATGAAAATATTTTTCTGATAACTTTTATTTTTCTTAATGTCTGGGTCTGTCTTTGTCATAAATTAATTTTATAATATGAATGAGATATAAATATATGGATTAAATCCAAATGATAAATATGGTGTTGTCAAGTGTCAAAATTATGATTTCTAATCTTATAAAATCACTTTTGAATTGAGTTTATTTTATGGGTCAAAGTTACAAATTTTAATATTTAAAATTGACATAACTTGAAATCTATAAATCAGATTGGTCCTTAAAATGTACCGTTGGATTCGTCTCTTCGAGACATATCCATAAAAGTAAGTTTTTTTTTATAAAAAGTCATTATTTTGAAAATCCATTTATTTTTAGTCAAACGTATAAATGTTTCTTATTGGACAAAAATATTCAAAACTACTTTTGTTTTATAAAATTTAGGCCATGTTTCGTGGCGTTACATTTCTTCCCCCCTTAAAGAAATTTCGTCCCCGAAATTTCCCTAGGTGAGAAGTCATTTAAATGATGATGTACAGAATCATGAATTTCCATTGTTTTTGTAAAACACTAATTTTGAGAATTTGTTTTCTCTTTCTTTTGTTGAGTGTCATGAGTATGACATTTTTTCTTTTGAGAAAGGATATACGCGGATGATAGATGTAACGTGTTTGGATTTCTTTCATGACGACTTGCGTCGAATATATACTCTTAGACTTGCTCTTGTCGTGGTGTAGGAGTTTTCAGAAGTTCTTATATGGGTTGCGTTTCATGAATGAGGAGTAATTTACAAAATGTTTCGTGAATGTGGGGTAACTTGCAAAATTTTCCATTTTTTTTTGAAATTCTTCTAGAATCATCCTCAGACGAGTTTGTCTGGAATGTTGGTTTCACAAATTACGCTTCGTTATTTATAAGCTGGAACGAATTATTTCGAGGTTTGACATTTTTTTTACATAACGGTATTTTGGGAAATGACTATTACCATAGTCATCATTCTAGGTTTCTTAGATGAATATGTAATTATAGTTTCAAAACTTGAACTTTCATTAGCGATCCTTAATGGAGTTATACTGACTAACGTAATGTCAACAATCTGATTTCACATGGCTTATGCATGCCTATAACCGTAAACATGCATATCACACTTATGTATAACAATAATATATGTTTTTATCACATTGTAATGATTGGATGAACGTATTGGATAACACTTGTTATTTTGTCACTGTTTGTATTATCAATATGATATGTAGTCATTTTTGAATACTGATTTTCTTAATGATAATTCCAGAATTGCCTTGGAATTTCCAACTTTCTCAATAATTATGATAGAGCTTCGTGCTCGAAAATTATAATATTAGTGTATTCGTCATATCACTAATATTCATCACACAATAGTTAAATTACTTATTACTAAAAACATGACAAATTATACACATAGTCATATTCTAATATGTTTGGGATTCTATAGACACATGTGTGGTTTCTCTTGGTGGTCCGTCCAATTGACTTAAGTGGAGATCACATTTACCTTCAGTGTGGTCATATTCACCACACAAATGACAACTTTTCCTTTCTAGCTGTTGCACATATGTTCCTTTGTTAGGGTTAAAGCAGAGTTGCTTGATCATCATTGATAATAATTTTCATAGATAACGTAGTCACATCAATCGTTACAGAGTATGGTTTTTGAAGATCGGTATCATAAAACATCTTCTTGGGTTTGAGGGAGAGTCATGAGTTACAAGTTCTCAATGATTTTAAAAAAAATATGGAATTCAATTTTTTTAAGTTTGATCAAGTGAGATGTTTTAAGTGTATAATTAACACAGCAAGTTTTAGTATTTTAAGGATATAGGTCACATGATACGAATATAGCATTTGCGAATTATTGTGGCAAATAGTAGGTTTTCGAGATGAATCATATTGTGGAAGCCTTCATTATACTTCCTGGAGGGATTGACACTATCGAAGGTTTGTTCACCTTAATCTCATGGGCATCTGAAGGGTTGCACAACAGACCTATTGGTCTCTTAAACATTGACGGTTATTTCAATAACCTAATCAAGTTTCTAGATGATGCGGTGAGGCAGAACTTCATGGCTTTGAATCAGAGGAAACTGTTCATTTCTTCTTTCTTTGTTGATGAGCTTTTGGACAAGCTAGAGTTTGCTAAGGCTTTCCCAGGTCCTGGTGCTAGTTATGAAGAGTTTGCAAATCCTGGAAGGTTAGACTTAGAGTTGCATTTGTAATATTTCCAAGTTGAAATAATATTGTCCATGTACATTACGTGTCAGTTATAAATATCGTTCTAAGCTGCATGATCAGTGCATTTCAGAAGAATATTTATTTCCAACATCAAAATGTACCATGTAAATATTAATCATTTTCTTTATCTTCCAGTCTTTCACTGTTGGTGTGACTGTTTCACATCTTGTTTTGTATTGTCATCTTGTTACGACCTTTTTGCGTCAATAGGGTATACGAACGAGTCAATTATCTTAATGTTTGTATGTAGATTCATCCGTATAATGTGTTTCAGATTCGATACATATGTCGTATTCGATCTTGTTTGTGAGGCTCTATTCGTGTTCGGTAGATTCACTTTTGGAGAATTATTCACTTTCTATCAGAGAAAGTTCTCTCTTCAACGTATTTTTCGGCTTGACAGAAGTTGATTCACATCATTCACTTAGCCATTTGCGTACTATGACATACGTATATGTCGCGCTTATCGGGTTTACAGTCCCTCTTCTTGATCTTCTGATGTCGACTGTGATCCTCGAAGAACATTTCGAGGCAATCTAAACATTATTGTAATCGAGTCTTTGAGGATACTAGAAAAAGCAACTTTTCAATGAGTTAAGTACGTGTGTTATGTCATACTCCCTCCGTCCCAAAAAGATTTACACGTTTCAAAAAAATTGTGTCCCACAATCCCTTATCCATTTCTATTTAAAAACCACTTTTACCCCTTACTTTTTCAAACCCTACCTATCACATCATACCTTTTTTCTAATAATCTACACATCACATCCTACTTTTACCCATCACATCAAGGGTATTTTTGGAAAGTCAACACAAAATTATCCCTCCCTTAATTTCAACTTTAGTCAAAATGGGTAACACTTTATGGGACGGAGGGAGTAATAACTTGTTGATTACTTTCCCGATGCAGAGATGTCGCGGAGGATGCGGATGCAGGACTTTGAAAATACTGACTCAATGATCCGAAAATCGTTTTGCTCTGATACCAAAATGTAACACCCCAATCCGTATAACCCGGAATTACACAAATTAAGGTGAAACGAGAGTTAAATAAAAATTTCGCTTGACATTCGAAAATGACAATTACTTATAAATATTAAATTTACACACTCTGGATCGCGACCCATTTAAAAAATCTTTTCAGAGTAATGCGAAAGTACAATAATAATCAAATCATGACACATTTAAAAATCTGATGATCAACATTTGCCTGCCATCCTTGCATCTCCTCTGACTCAATGCCCTCCGGAAGTGGTTCCAACATTGTCTTCTTGTTACCTACGTGTAGTCAACGATAGATACAAACTACATGCTCAGCGAAACCGCTGAGTGATTTCCAAAGTTTATATTTACTTATGTGTATATTAACTTTATGGATTTGGTGTATTTTGATCTCAACATATAGATAACTTATATATGCATCACACATATATTTTGGAATGGTTTTAACATATGGAATAACATATATGTTCATGTATGTATGTGATGAATGATTCGACAAGTCTAACGCAAGGGTACAGACCTGGAAATCATAGGCCGAAACCTTACGGATGAGCGGGAGTGGAAACAACATTGAAATTCGCCAACTTTGTCATTTCCGTCACAACTGGACAGCCTGCGGTATTTTGGGCATATCTTCATCGTTTCTTCACGGAAATGCAAACCGCTTGATTCTGTGGATTCCTAAGATGTAAGGCTATAACTCTCGTGTGGAAAGTATTTCGAGTTAACATATGTAAGATAGCGTAAATCGGACCTGAAGTCAAGGGAAAGTTGCTGTCCAGAACTTTGAATATATCGATGAACACGATTCCGACGATTAACTCACTAATTTCAACATTCCAATGCCGAACCTTCTCTACGCTACCTTCCGGATATTCCTAATAATTGTTATAGAGTTTATGGTAAGTATTTGGAATGAAATAATATGAATTTGGTGAAGAAACAAATGCCAACCCGAGGAGCTCGCCACCACTGGTGCAGTCCCGGTATTTTGGTCATATCTTCTTCGTTACTTAACGAAATCGCGAGCCATTTGTTGGGCTGGATTCGTATCGTCCGGGGCTACAACTTTGGTTCAAGAAGTATTTCGAGATAATGGATGGAAAGTTTCAGTTTTTACCTTAAAGTGGCTGCTGCGTTTTTGAGCTTATGATTTGGAAACCTTGATACTTCTTGTTTCTCCTTCTCCTTTCTTGGCTCAACAATGGAGTTAGAGCTGGTTTTTCCTCCTTCTTGGACTACCGACAGAGAGAGGAAATCGGAGAGGAAAGATGAGATGATGGTGGTGGTGGCGGTGGAAGATGATAATGAGGTATAATGATGAAGATGGTGGTGGAGTATTATATGATTATTTTGGAGGCTTGTGTTAATGGAGTTGGAGGAGATTGAAAAATAGGCTTGTGAGATATCCCTTGGTTGGCTACTGATTTGGGGAGATATTTGAGAATTAAGTTTTGGCTTTTAGCCAAAACTGAACAGTTTACTCCAAACGGTACGCGCTTTTTTGCCCAAACTGATTCGAATAGAAAACGAATTGTGTTTTTGGAATGAGACTGTCAAAACTAGAATTTTGACGTAATGAAAATATTTTTCTGATAACTTTTATTTTTCTTAATGTCTGGGTCTGTCTTTGTCATAAATTAATTTTATAATATGACTGAGATATAAATATATGGATTAAATCCAAATGATAAATATGGTGTTGTCAAGTGTCAAAATTATGATTTCTAATCTTATAAAATCACTTTTGAATTGAGTTTATTTTATGGGTCAAAGTTACAAATTTTAATATTTAAAATTGACATAACTTGAAATCTATAAATCAGATTGGTCCTTAAAATGTACCGTTGGATTCGTCTCTTCGAGACATATCCATAAAAGTAAGTTTTTTTTTATAAAAAGTCATTATTTTGAAAATCCAATTATTTTTAGTCAAACGTATAAATGTTTCTTATTGGACAAAAATATTCAAAACTACTTTTGTTTTATAAAATTTAGGCCATGTTTCGTGGCGTTACAATATGTTTGACCAATGAAATTTTTTATCAAACATATTTTTTATTTTGAGATTATAGTCTATTTTTTAATATTTCAATTCATTATATATTTATATAAATAATTATTCAAGCATTTTACAGCAAAGCGAACTGAGACAGTTAATGAATAAAGTTTTTAGAATTATTTAAAAATACCAATTTATTTACCATATATACGTATAGGGGGGTAAAGAACTGTAACACCCGCCTTCCGTGGACCCGGTTCACCCGTGACCCAACGGACCGGTAGGGTTACATGGGCGGTCTGAGAACCGTCCGTTACAAAAACATTAATGATTTTTAATGAGAAAACGGTTACGTTCAATTGATGGGATATTAATGACTATTTATTATGAAAACGTTTGTGTTTAATTGGTGTAATAAATGCTAGGAGTTAAATCCAAAACGTGAGTGATATAAATGCAGAGTAAAAGCGGAAGTAAATAAATGAGTAAAACGACAAATGGTGGGTTCATGCCCAAATGATTAATTAATTAAATGTATTTAATTATTGAACTTGTCCATGCGCCGCCCATCTTCCCACCATCACTGTCCTCCAGGGTTAGCACCTGCACCGTCATGTCTACCTGTGTGTAGCAAAAACAACTACACGCTCAGCAAAAGCTGAGGAGTAAATCTAACAAAAGAACATGAAGTGATAACCCATATGGTTATACACATATAAATACCTGTATTTAACGTACGGAAAACCACATGTTTGCTAACTGATTAATTTGCACTTGATTGGATATTATTACACATAACAAAATGAATAACAACCACATTGAATATGGATATGATGGAAATCATACATGATGATGACAACCACATTGAATGTTGACGTGACATGTAACATACATGATGACGGTATGACTTGATGCATGATACCCCTGACTTAGTCTCACTTGACAGGATCACCCCTGCACTCCGGTAATGAGCCGGGCTCGACAAAACGTCGCAAGTGAACTAGCAAAACTGGGTGGTAGCCGTAGCCTGACTACCATGTACGTACACAAAGCCCACCTAATGAAAACCCGTTGGATCGCAAAGGTTCCTAGACGGGCCCACTGTAGTAGGCGCACGAAAGCCTGACCTCCCTACAGCGGTATGCACATGATGATGACCCTAGGACATGCGTCTAGGATGAACATGATGAATTGAATGCATTGATTGAAGAATGAAATTAAATTCAACGCATACATATATGTTTGATTACGTATGAAAACAATTTGTTCAACATGATGGCCTTAGGTTCAAAACTGGCTGATAATCGATTGTCTATTGTTGATAATCGATTATCATGCTGTGCAGCTTCTGTCCCCAAAGTCCTGCAGACTGTGATAGTCGATTGTCACCTTATGAAAATCGATTGTCAAGTTGGTTTGTTCAGAACGTCCTAAGTTCAGAGAGCCCTGATAATCGATTATTGCCTATGTGATAATCGATTATCAGGTGAACCAGCTCTAACTCAAGAATCCGCAGGGCCTGATAGTCGATTATCACATATGTGATAATCGATTATCACGCTGTGCTGAATCAATTGAGGAGTCCAGCGTGGCCTGATAGTCGATTGTACTATCCTGTAACTCGATTATCAAGGCACGCTGATTTCCATTTTATCTGTTTGCTTGCCATTAAAACGTTGGAGGTTTTAGAAACGTATGGTTGCATTTCCATGCTAGATAATCGAATAACTTACAGGGTTTCAAAACGTTTATATTAACGAGAACATAACTTGATAACATGGACACACGTATGTTGGATGGTTAACCTACGAACATGCATAGTTTCTACGTAGGTTGCGTACGATATTCCTATGAATATAACAACATAGATTATGACTTGATGTTGTAGAATTAGAGGAGACAACTACTCACCTCTAAATGAAGGGATTGACGGAACAATGAAACGAGATGAATGAATGACGTCTAACGAATGGACGAACGGTCAACGTACGGCTTCTCGTGTGAACTTCTTCCTTCCTTCCACCTCGACTCCTCGCCGGAATGTCTCCCTTCTTGCTGCTGCTTGGCCGAACCACCAAAAGGAAAAGGGAGAGGAAGAGTTGAGGGTGTTAGATGCTTGTGTGGGAGTTACAAGTGATGAGGGAGATGGGTGGAGAGAGGGGGGTTTTAAATAATGGAGATTAAATGGGTGAATAATGGTGGATTAATTGGGAATGAATGGGGTGGTTATGGGAGATGAAAGGGTGTGTGGCGTGTGGTTCATAATTTGGGGAGTTACCTCCCTAAATTCCACTCTGTTGTGTAGAATTTGATCTGAACGGTACGCGGTTTACCCCCCGAACGGGTCTGAATTGATATCCGTTTGTGTTTCCGGAATCAGACAGTCAAAACGAATTTAATGACATGTTCAAATAATTTTCCTAAGAACTTTTATTTTCAAACTTCCGGGTCCACCCCAATCATTAATTAATTTATTTAATTAATGTTGAGAGGTCCGTTATTAAAACATCTTTTTATATTAAAATACAATAGCTTTGGAAAGCCATTTAAAGAGATTGAAATCTCAATACTTATTAATTTAAAATAATGAGTCTCAATAAATAAATAATATTTATTTATTTAAAACTAGGTCGGTTTGTAGGGCGTTACAAGAACACTTTCTATTTTTGGATTTAGAATCACTCCCTCTGTCTCCTTAAGATCTTCTCATTTTGACTTTTTGTGGTTTTTAAGGAGAGTTGAAAAAATGTTAAAGTTTACCATAATACCCCTAATGAAAATGGGTGGAGTGTATTAAATGAGGTAGATGGGGTGTAATAAATAAAGTAAGTGGGAATAGTTGTGGTATATATTTTAATTGTTAAAAAAGGTAATGAGAAAATCTATGGTGGACAAATAAAAAGGGTTAATGAGAAGATCTATGAGAGACAGATCTAGTATATTTTTGCATAGAAAAGTGATTTAGATTCATCCATTTTTATGAAATGATTAATTATGCACCTACTTCTCTGAATGAATTTTATTAATTTTATATTTAGGTTAGTGGTCTTATGCTAAACAAAAAGAATGAGTTTAGTTGCTACATATCTTTATCTTTATATATTAAATTTAATAGTTAAACTCATAGAATTACAATAAGTGGTGAGTCTACATTGCAACATTTTAACAAATCATCCGCCACCTATACAGATTACGAAGTGCCACTATAATTATTTGGGAAAAAAACTAAAATAAGATTAGAATATGGAGAAAGTGCCAAAATATGAGTTTCATATTTTTTATCTCCAAAATATTAACTACAATTCCAATATTTTATTATATAGTGCTAAAAACATTATGAAATGGTAATATACATTGCCACAACGTCACTGTGTAAACTTTATTTAGGAAATAAAAATATTGAACTCTTATTCTGGGCATAAGATTTATGTCTTACTTCTATTTGAGTGATTTTTTTAGTTTTTTAGGAAATATATACAGAGTAATATATATGGAGTAGTAACTACCAAAAGTTTTCTTCTACACTTATATTACCTTATATATCTTTTTTTACAAAATCATCATCTTCAACTTCTTGGGAACCTCTTTGCATATTTTTCTTTTTTTCTTCTATAGTGTAGATAGGTGAAATTGTGAAAACTATTGTGTAATTGATGATGTACTCACACTTCATTTGGTAAGTTTAAGGGAGGGCATCATTAATAATCTATTTAAAAAGGAAATTGATAGCATTATTTTTTGGTGAATTATATTATTTTCCATATTCTTTGCGGAGCTTACGAGAACAGATTTCCAATTTTGTTGATCGGAACTCCAAAATTTATTATTTAGCTACTAAATATGAAGAGATTCCTCTTTTCTATATAACAAGGTTAAAGTATACAAAATTTGACCAAGAAAAGTCAAATGAAAATATTAAATCCGAATGGAGACTAATAAGATCGAGACTAAGTTACAAGTTACAACCACATCAAAGAGAAATATAATTTCATATTTATAATTATTTCTATTTTGATAAAACATTTTGTATATTGACGAGAATACTATCAAGGGCTTGAATGATTTTGCATTATAAAAGTGAAAAAGAAAAGTTTGCATATGATTTTATGAGATACTTCTCTACGATGAATGAATATCAGCACAATATATACGATGAGATAATGGAAGTTGTGACACCTGAAAGAGGAGGTTTCTTTTTTATGTATGGTTACAGTGGAACTGAAAAAATATTTTTTT